ACTTTTTGAAAAAACTAAAATAAAATTATTTTTTTTAAAAAAAGATATTTTAAATATTATTACTATTAATTTATAATATTAAAACTTTAATTTATACAAGTAAATTATCTTAAATTTGATAAATATATATTTAAAATTTCATAAAAATTAAATTAATAATTATAAAAAAATTAAGATTCTAAAAATAATAATTAAATTATTTATTATATAATTTTTTATATTAATTTTAATTAAATTTTATATAATAAAATTTAAAAAAAAATAATTCAAAAAAGTTATTAATAAAAATTTTTTTATAAAAAATCTATAATAAAAATTTTTATATTTAAATAAATTCTAATATCTAATAATTCAATTAAATAAGATAGAATTAAAAATTTTATTTTAAAAAAATAATCTATTTAAGATATAAATCTTTTTATACTAGATTATATTATCTATTATATTAAATATTTTAATATATAACTATTTTTTATTAAGTAATTAAATTGAAAATTAATCAAGATAAATAATTAATATAATTAAATAAAAAATAATTTAAAAAAATAATTATAAAATAATTAAATAAAATTCAAAAATATAATATAATAATTTCTTAATACTATTAATATAAGTGAATTATATATTAGAATTAATATTTTTAAAATGAATTATATAAGATTAGATATTTTTAAAAGAAAAAAAATAGCTAAAAATACTATATATATTCTTAGTAAAATTTATATTATTACTTATATATAAGATTATAATTAAAAGAAAAATAAAATAATATTATTATTTCAAATTTAAGCTTAATTTTAATTTTATATTTCAATTAAAAATATTAATTTTAAGTATAATAATATTATTAACTAGTAAATTTAATTTATTAATAAATAAAAATTAATAAAAATAATAATTATTATTAAATATATATAATTATTATAAAAGTAATATTACCTTTTTTTTAAAAAATAAGATTTTAATTAATTTATTTTATTGCTATTTTATATATATAAATTCTTTATTACTAATTAATATATTATTACTTTTTTATATAGCTTTTAATTTCTCAAAGATATTAAGTTTATGATCTTTACAAAAATTAATTCATTGAATTTGTTCATAATTTCTTTAGAATAACTTGAGTTTATCATAATTCTTTGAAAATTTTACACTTTTAAATATTATTCTTCAGTAACTTGCAAATATTTTTACAAAATTAGAGTTCTAAAAATATATTAATCATTGATTTTCTCTATTTGAACCTATTTCATGACTTCTTTTCCAGTATGAAGAAAGTGTTATTTTGCTAAAATATTATGTTTACTCAAATTAATAAATATAATATATTATGAAATCATCTTAAAGAAGCTTCAAATAAGCTTTTGCACAGATTTTATCATGAAATTGCTCAGGTTATCTTCGAACTTCTTTTAAATGTGCATTTTTTTTCTTAATTGTTAAGATCTTATAATCTCCCAGATCATGGTAAATTTTTGTTTTTTCTATTTCTTTTGTACTTGGCAAGAGATATACTGTCATTGGATTTTGGCACATTTTTTTTGTAACTTGCTCGTCACTTATAACTTCAATAAAATTGCTATTTTACCCTTGTAAACGCCGGTCAACCGAGTACAATAGGTATCATATTTACATTTAACAAATTTCATCTAGTGTATGAAAATAAAAAAATTAGGATATATTTTACCCGGGCGTTATTTTCTGTGGCGACTGTACTGCTACCATTATTCCGATAAATTATGACAGGATCGACCGGCTGTGTTTGTGTGTTATCAAGTTTGCGTATATTCTAGAACGATTTTTCAGCACACTTTTCCCGTATGCACGTAACTTCAGCCCCTTTCCAAAGATAGTCAATTGTATAATTTCAGCGTAGCTTGCGCGTAATCGTTTATTCAAATGGACTTTTCAATAGGGTATTCTCAATAGGGTATTCTCTATAACTTTGTGTAAGATTTCCAGACAGTACTTTCAACACTGTTGTTATTTTTCTTTGATATGTTATTATTTTATATAGTCTTTGTTATATCTATATGTATAGTAAATTATAGGGTAGTTAGCGTTTCCTTAGACTTTAACAAAAAAAAGTGCTACAGAATGTGCTAAAAGAGTGCTGATGCTATCGTAATTTGGAATTAGCGAAATTATTGAAGCAATGGTAACACTGCACCATAATTTTATCATAATACAAAATTTGTTGAGTTATCAAAGATTTGGTTACTTTTATCTTATGTGGTTATTTCTGCGAAAAATTATTGTTGTTTTTTGCTATTAATGAAAAGAAATTTCGGCTTTATTTTTCGTAAATATTGTTATCATAAAAGATGTGACGCTGTAGAATTGAGATCACAAATTGAAAGAAAAAAACAAATATTCGTCCGTGTTATCAAATTCTATTTTTACGCTGTAAAATGTACACGCCTTTACGCGTTTTATAAAATTCTCGTCTATGAAAATATTATTTTTCATACTTCATAACCCCTCCTTTGTCTAATGTAAACCATTAGAATTCCATTTGTTCAAAAATTATATCCGTAAGTTTAACTGAAAGCAACTTCTATAAGATGGTTCATATAAGTTTTTGTCACTATATTATTCGATTTTATTATACTACACTAGGACGAGTCATTAACTGTTGTTAATTACTATCGTTACGAGTCTTTGTTATTTTTTACTTTTTATCCTTTATCTTCATGCATGACTAACAAAAGCATTTTTCTTGTAGATCTCAAAACAGGAGTTCGTTTAGTTAATTAATATTTAGAGAGAAACTTTGTTAAAACAATGTAATAACGATAACCCTAATAATGGTAAAATAATAATAATAATAAAACAATGTAAAAGAAACATCAGGTTAATATTGTCGTTTCTCTCTATTTAAGAGGTGTGCGCATGCAAATTTGCATTTAATTGATTGAAAAAAACCTGCTGTAAATATAACAATAGCTCATCCTTCTTCGAATTTTCATTAAAGACGCTCTTTAAAAACTAAGGAATTATATTATTTGAAAAAAATTGTAAGGATAATAATGTTGCGACTTCTATACCGACGTGACTTTTCCGACAACATCACCATCCAAACTCTAGTGCTCTCAATTTCAATATTCTTCGCGTTTCTTATCACCGTATCGCTATTTACTGTCGTTGTACGTGGTCATATGAAAAATCGACTGAAAGCGATGAAAATGCCGAAAAATAAAGACGGAAGTGTATTGCAATGGCAGCAGTTAAAACTTCGTCCATTACGTTTGGTGACCAAGAATCAGGTAAAAGATGACATTCAAATTGATTTTGAACGTGAATTACATCAACAAAAACCCACCATAAACGCAAAAAGTAAGAAGAGTGAAAGTTCAATTTTGTTTAGAGATTCAATTGTATCTTTATTAACTAAATAAATCATTTAACCGATCAACTAACTTCCTTATTGTATTATGCACAAGAGTCTGGAACTTCTAACCAGAAGAATAGTAATGGTGATATCAATAATAACATTAGAGTAATAATAGACGTGAAAACAACAACAGAATTCGCGAATAATTTTGTAACAAATAATAGCGACCTAAATAGTGATCATGAAATTGTTCATAAAGAAAAAGATGGTCCCCTTGAAGACAAAGACGAAAAAGATCAAAGTTTTGAGGAACAAGAAGAAACTTTAATTATTGGACAAGAAACACTCGATGTATTTCAGCCTTCGAGTATCGAAAGATGCTTACTATTCGGATTCAACAATGAAAGACGCGAATCTGCCATTATTATAACCTGATTAATTAACATGAATAAACGATTCTAATAATAGAATCATTGTGTATTGATATCATAGATTATGAAATATATGTACATCTATTGTCTTAAGATACAAAAATAGCTCTCACATATTTTATCTGGTTCTGTCAATTACTTTGCAAACGAAATAACTTTGATCATTCTGAAGCTTCCTTTTGTCCCAATTTTGAAAACTGAATTGTTAAATGAAAAATTCTATTTTTTGTTTATTCATTATTATAATTGTAACCAGTTTGATTCTTTGATCTTTAAAAAGTCCGAAATTGTGATTTAGCATTAGGCGTTTTCTATTTTTGGGTGAAAAAATTATAATACAGGGAGGAACGATACACGGACGGATGATACCAAGAATGAAAAAGATGATGATGATCGAAAGCTCAGTCACAAGTATAAAACCGATGGAACCAAAAAGTTGTAAGAAAGCATTAATTTTTACAAATTATTAAAAAATATTAAATTCCTTAGTTCATTAAGCTCAATTCTTGTTTAATACCTTTTTAATATACATTTTAAAATCAACAAACCAAAAACAAAAAATGCTGATCTCAAGATTACTTCTAACCTCTGATTGGACCTCGGTAATCCTCACTTTGTTCGCCGTCTACATTTCCTTCTACTACTACAAGTACTTCTCGAGAAAGAATAAATTACCTGGACCATTACCATTGCCATTAGTTGGAAACCTGATTGAAGTAGCAAAACTTGGTCTTGACAATGTTCCAAAGTGGTTTTTTTTATTACGTGAACGCTACGGCGATTATTTTGAATTTTACCTTGGCACGCAGAGAATTGTGGTGACCTGTAATGCGGAACTTATGGATAAATTGGTGGACCCTTCGACAAAGACCAATTTTTTTAAAAGGGTAAATGATATTTTATTTTGTTAAATTTATAGATACCCCAAAATATAATTCATTAATTACATTTTACAATCTTAGCATCCAGAAAATAGCAATATAAGCGAACTGGGATACAACGCACATGGGATATTCTTTAATCAAACTTTTGAAGGCTGGAAATTTAACAGAAAATTCTTATCGAAATCATTAATGTCTCCTAAATTTCAAGCGGAGCTTCTACAACAACAACAAGAGCTCTTTTGCGATGCTTCGAACTATCTGGACTTACTTAGCAGTAAAATCGGTGACGAATCATTAGAATCGACAAAAATAAACTTAGCCGCCACAATGTTGAGCTTTAATGCCGACTTGATTATAAAAATGACAACTGGTAAAACGGGAGGCTCATTAGCTCATTACCTAAAAAACAATTATCCGTTCGAAAATTATAAAGAATCGAAAAGATTGATACAAAAATCAAACAGTAATTCCGCCGCTTATGAAATTTCAATCGAACTCACAAAACTCACTAGAGGATGGAGTACTGATACAATGTACATTTTTTCGCTGCCGAAATGGTTGAGACATTACGTACCAGGATTCAGTCACTTTAACAAAAAATGCCTAAACAATTTGCAAAGAACCTTTCATATATTGCACGGGATAATTGAGGAACGAAAAAATGAAATCGAAAATTCACCAAAGGAAATGGATTTAGAGTCGAATTTATTGACTTTGTTGTTGCTCGCCAACACCGAACGAGATCCGGATCGTATGATTGACACGAATGGAGAATTTACGCGACCTATGACGAAATACGAGATCGGTGGTATTTTATTGGAAGTATGTCACGGAAGCATTGAAGAGGTTAGTTTTTTTATTATTATTCTAAAGTTTTTATCAGTTAAATACTAAAAACATTATTTAATTATATCTAGATAAGTTGGGTATTTAATTCAACGGTTTATTATATTCTAAAATTTCCACATGTTCAAAACCAATTTCTCGAAGAAATCGAAAAAATCCTCGGCTTTGATCTCGCTCGTCCAATAACGTTCGAGGACTTGAAAAAATTCAAGTATTTGGACGCTATACTTTACGAAACTTTGCGATTATCCCCTCCACTCCCAGTGGTAGGCAGAACAAACACGGTAGTCGATGAAATAGGTGGATACAAATGGGAGCCGGATACAGTATTTTTGCTATTCTTTCAAGGATTGCATGTGAACGAAAAGTATTGGACGAATCCTCATGAATTCAATCCTGCGAGATTCTTGCATACAAACAATAACAAAAATATTGAAGATGATCTGTCCTCAATGATTGAAAAGAATTCATATCTTCCGTTTGGTGGTGGTATAAGAAGATGCCCGGGAAAAAATATGGCTTTGGTTAATATAAAGTCTAATTTAATCAGTCTATTTAGAAAATATAAAATCGAGTTGGACAATAATATGCCACCCATAACTAGATTCACAGGATTATATCAATTTAAGGATTTGAACGTTATCATGAAACCTAGAAATAGTTAATAGTTTTTTTCATTTTACCTTATCTTTTGTATTATCTTAAAACATAGAAATTTTCTCATATATATACAAATAAATAATTTATTATTAATTATTAAACTTGTGAATATTCACTGCGTGACTATTAGGATTTTATTAAACTTGCAAGCATTTAGAGATTGAAGTCGGTCCGATATCGAGTATAGAAATAAAATTCATTACTTTCCCCAAATATGGGATCATTATTATTTTCATCAAAAGTCATACACATGTACTACAAAGATACATGATACTAAATTTAGAATAGAGAATAATAACACACATGTATTTATATGGACATGTATTCAAGAAATAATAATCATTGATTATTTTTAAAAAGAGAAACGATGACTTCATCTTTATACATGAAATAGAAACAGAAATAGCAACCAGAAAGAGCTTATACATAATATTGACATTTAAATCTAATACTATGAATATGAAAAACGAGAATAGTTATAAATATAACAATAACGATAAAACGAATCATGATTGTGATATAAATCACCTCATCATAGTTACGGGTTTATAAATAGTTTTATTTATTTTGATGTGTTATCGTTATAAAAAACCATGTACATCTACTAACCAATTTTATATAAAATCTGTCTTGATCACTTTCTATTACCATATGAAATATGCAGGATCACTCATAATATGAAATTTAAAAAGTAATAATTAATAATGGTGTGTACATGTATAAAATATATAAAAGATATACAAGGCATTTTCTCAGAGGAGGAAAGTTCTACATTCGACATTTTCATTTTACCTTTTTTATGACGAACTTTAGAAATTCATTCCCACGAACCACATGAACTATAAATAATATTATTTTTATTTACAAACAATTCACTAATAAAATCCATAAAAGATTACTTCGTTCTCTTATCGCTATATATCCTCACTTTTCTTGTCAAAGTTCATACCATATAAAGGGAAAAAGATGGCAACAATATCAAACATATTGACGCGTAGAGATACCTCACTATCAGACACGAAAGATAGTGCAACATTCATAATCCTTGGTCTAATAATCGGATTATTTCTGCTCCTTGGTATTCTCATAGTGATAGCAATAGTGAGAGCTCGTGCGAAAAAAGCTAAAACAACAACAATTAACTCAACAGAAACCTCAGAAGTTGTTACAACACAACAGCAACATCATCGTCAAGCTAAAGATCCAAAACTTCGATCACTATCTATTCTGGAAGGGCAAGGAGTGGTAACAGGAAAAACAACGAATATTGACAGGAGAGCATCAAAGACGACAACAGCCGTTAAGTCGGGTCAAGAACGAAATTCAAATGGCTCTACACTTGTTGGATTGCCAATTCGAGATAGTCTTATGAGTACAGAGACATTCTTCACTAGTCCAAGAGCAAGTAGAGAAATTGAAGAGCCACCGACTTCTATTGTTAGTCCGACTACGACCAATCCTACAACTACGAACGTCTATATTATACCAAATATTCCAGAGCCTGCTATTTCTCGTACTTCAATACATAATCTCGATATAACTTTTTGAAATTTTATTATTATTATTCCTACGTATTATGCAAATGCGCGGATTATAGACACTCAATAATAATAATAATAATAATAATAATAAATAATAATACTGTACCCCTATTTCTTATACCTGTATTAGAAAGTTATTTTGAGGCTTTTCTTTAGAGAATTTCTTTTTGTAAATAATTTGTTTCTTTTTGATAGATAATATAAGAACAATTAAAGCTAAAAATCGTATGTATGCCATGCACCTAACTTCTAATTTTTTTCATAGTTATATTATTTGATTCGTTAATTTTATTTGGTATTTTTTGAAAACTAAAGACAATATATCCTTTTATGCATGAACGTTCTTTTAATATACACACATAATTCAGTATATGTACATGTAAGTACATGTAATTACATGTGCTCTATTCACCTATATTGTGTTGAAAATTAGGTTGCAAATTGCAGTTTGTAAGTGGATATTTTTATCTACCTTAGTAAAATTTCAAATGATACTTTTCCTTGCCAAAAGTCCTACCATCACAATCAGAATTGCTGTTTATTGTCCGATTTACGGAACCGATTTCTTGTTCTGGATCATCAACCAATGTAACGACGACGAGCGATATTTACAGTAAATTGTGCATATTATCTTCCGCCAGACAGGAAGTCACTTGGATTTTTTGGAGACCACGCGTTATTTGTGATTTGGTTTTTGTCACGTTGGACTTTATATTCCAAGTGTGATGACTGAATTTATGCTGAATCGTCGTGATATCAGAACTCAGAATATGTCAAAAGCTCCTATTTTCTTTCAACCCGTTGATTGGTGAAAGAATTACAGAAAGCTAAATTACATTTTAAAATTATCTGTTTCTTGTCTCAAGAGAAGTTCATATGGAAATAAGGCTTTCTCCAATATTTGTTATATGACATCTCACATGGAAAGGATCGAAGTATACAAACACCTCAAAAAATGACTTCATTTGAACCAATCGACATTTACTAATTGATCGATGATGGTTGTTTGCATAAAATGGTCTTAATATTAAGAACAAAGGCAAGGATGAGCTCATGATTTCTATAAAGAATATTTGATAATTATTTTCAAGAATTTTTGAGTAATTAAAATAAAAAAAATACCATTTTCAAAGATTAGACAAAATATTTGATTAACTCGAATGATTGGCTAAAAATACGATATATTTTGTATTATACCATCTTACAACTTTTCCATTCCAAACAGTTAATAAACATACAGTTTGAGTTGTTAAAAGCCCCTTTGTCAAAACCCACTTGTATCTAAAATTTCAAAATCCTAAATTCAAAGCTAATGCTTTACAAATCTATCAGAATGTTGCTTATCTATTTTGATATGAAATATAATATGCAGAAAAGAAGAGTTTTAAGATAGAAACTATGTATCCTCTCATAATTTCCATACTATCGCTTCTATTCTAGCATCAACTTCAAGAGATTCGGACTGGGATTATAGAATAGGATGTTTCTTCAGCTGAAAATTCGCAACATAAAGGAATGGGCTTTTATGAACCATAAGAAATGCTTGACAGGTGGTTGCGAAGTCAACGATATTTATAGTAACGTGCATTCGAAAATATGCAACATATAATAACGATAATATCCGAAATTAATAAAAACGCTAACTTATAAAATCATGCTCGCTTCTCTTAAATTTCTCATCTTGTGACTGATAATTAATATATTGATAATTAATATATCTACAAAATCGGAGCGAAAGAAATAGAAGTGCGCATATGCATTTCATGTCAGGTGATTGATAAAGCCAAATTTTACTGTATCGCATTATTGAAACAAAAGATATATAATAAAGCGAGAATAACTTCAAATAGCACAATAACAATTCTTTACTTATCTTCGAATAATTAAATAAATAATAAAACCCGTTGCGCTTTTACCTTTTAGTCATCGAATATGCGTTATATTCACCAAGAACAATGTCATCAAAGACCTACTCTTCTCAAGGTTCTTTTATTCATTTTCGCGAGTTATTTTACTCCCTCAATTTTCGGATGGCAAGCTGGTAGCGGCAATTGTCCGACATGTAGAGCAACACATATGTTGGCAGCTCGCGGAGTTTCGTTTCCTTTCATGCAGTCTATGCAACCTATGCAACCGTTACAACAAATGCCTATGACTTCCCAGCAAAATGAAAATGAGAATGTTGGTGAAAGTGAAAGTGGTAAACAAGCGGATGGTAACGGTGAAGATACTAAACAGCCAGACGGAAACGGTGAAAATGGTACAAAAGGAAAGGAAAATGGAAATGGTGAACAACCAGCACAACCCGAGCAGCCAGAACAACCAGCCTCGCCCCAATTACCGATGCAACCTTCACAAATGTTTCCGATGGTAATGCCAATGCCAAATCAAATGTGTCCAATGTCGTATTTCCAAAAATTTGGTGGTTGTACTGGCTGGCATTCAATGTGCCAACATTGTGGTTTCCCAATGATGCCAATGGTTCCAATGCCTTTGCCACAACCGTCACCAACGACAGAACCAACTCAGGAGCCAACACCTGAACCAACTCCATCACCGACAACAGAACCGACTCAAGAACCAACGACTGAACCAACTCCATCACCGACAACAGAACCGACTCAAGAGCCAACGACTGAACCAACTCCATCACCGACAACAGAACCGACTCAAGAGCCAACAACAGAACCAACTCAGGCGCCAACAACAGAACCAACTCAGGCGCCAACAACAGAACCAACTCAGGCGCCAACAACAGAACCAACTCAGGCGCCAACAACAGAGCCAACTCAGGAGCCAACAACAGAGCCAACAAATGAATCAACTCCAGGACCTATTACTAGCTCATGCCCACCAGAGCCAAAACCAGAACCAACTCCTTGCCCATCTATAAAGCAAACTGAATGTCCAGAAGATAAAATTAATGTTCATGTTCCGATAAATATTCTAATGTCAGTAGATGGAGAAAATTTGGAGGAAGTTGAAGAATTGGAAAAGGATAAAGAAGATAAATGTGACGAATCAATAAAAGAAAAACCTGTAGAAGAAAAACCTATCGAAGAAAAACCTGCCGAAGAGAAACCTGTCGAAGAAAAACCTGTCGAAGAAAAACCTGTCGAAGAGAATCCTGTTGAAGAAAAACCTGTCGAAGAAGAACCTGTTGAGGAGAAACCAAATTGAAGAGAAACCTTGCTAAATTATTCTAATTTCATTGTTATATGTAGATGAGTATATAGAATTTTTATCTTTGTATATTTGTGCTTTTCGCTTTCCATTTACGTATTGTTGTAATTATATTATGTGAAATAAATAATATTTCGAACACTTGATTCAAATATGTGCGATTATATAAAAATTGGGTGACAATTTTTGGAAATTATTTCTATAATATTACAAGCGAAGATAGCTATCTAGGTAAAAAAAAGAATTAAAGCACTTTCAAACTGATTTTTTCTGGCATTCTGTATTTTTATTTTAGAGCTGAATACTATTCAAACAATAAAAATCATAAGTTTTATAAATTGAAACTATTCATTGTTTACAAATATTAACAAAATAATCTTATAATAATCTAAATATTTTATAATGTAAAGTTTTTAATGTAAATTCTCAAGTTCTTAATATAAAATTCTTAATATAGCATGCAAAACTTAATACATTACATGTCATATTTATATAATATATAGTCTTGATTCTCAGTGTAAATTTGAATAAAAAATTGTGAAATGATAAGAAAAGTAGTAAATAAAAGCTTATTTTTTTATTGAAAAATCTGTTAAGCTCAAAATTATGAAAAGATAGCTAACTCCATTCCCATCCATGAAACATTTCATAAAAAAGTATGTTCTATTTTGAAATGATATCAATATTATGATTATTATAAATTGCAGCCTGGATTTCCTCCACATCAGATCACATGACTCGCAACGCTTTAGCGCATCCCCAAATTTGGCATGTTTCTCATTGATCCGGTTGGCTTTGCCTAATATTTCCAAACTTGGTTTTTGACAGATGTAATAAAATTACCAAAACTAATACATATACTCAAAAAACTTAGTAATTCTTCCACAAGGACCATGATGAAAAACCAGCTTGGGGCGTGCTAGATATTCAAATAATCACCCACAAAAGTCAAACATATTCATAAATGGGCCAAAAATACAACGACCTTTCTGCAGTATAATATAAGGAACAAAGATTAATTCAACCACTTTCAAAGAAATACAAAATTATGTGTGAGACGGTTTCTGGATATCATTAAAGAAATAGTATATTAAATTAAATTCGCGACGAAGTGAGATCACACCATGATTAATTTCCTATTTATCAATAACCGAATTTTTTATCAATGTGATTAATTATAACAAAAATCGAAAAAAAGAAAATGATCAAACGAACAAATAATCAATCATATAATATCGTTATGTTAAAATTTTTTGTAACCGTTTAACCGCATAAATTTGTCGCCATAGTTGTGCTGAATTATATTGACCATGGATCAAATTATCGTGAAAGGTATTAAACGATTAATATATATTTATTTAAGAATATTTTGGAAGATTTCGGTTTTTTATTTTTATCCGGGTAATGCTTATCTCTAGATTTACCTTTTTTCGCCATGGTTAGGATACTTGATTTTGGCGATGAACATCAAATTAGATGCACATCGCAACATGGATGTCACTAAATGCAGATTTTTGTTATTTTTTTACTATGATCCCGTCAATGCTGCACCTTGGGGAGTTTGACTGTATTTTATTCTTTGTGATCAAAATATACGCTATGCTATACGGAAATGCCTTCTTAACGAATGAAATAATAATGGAGAATTTCATGTTATCAACAATTGTATAACAACAACATGGATGTCACTAAATGCAGATTTTTGTTATTTTTTTACTATGATCCCGTCAATGCTGCACCTTGGGGAGTTTGACTGTATTTTATTCTTTGTGATCAAAATATACGCTATGCTATACGGAAATGCCTTCTTAACGAATGAAATAATAATGGAGAATTTCATGTTATCAACAATTGTATAACAACAAAGATCCTCGTACGGTCTTAATTTTAAAAAATCTATATAATTGACGATTCCTAATATTTCAAATTGTAAAAATCGAGGTTCATCTTAGTTAGTGAGAGCACCACGGAAAATTTCTTGCAATGACTCATTATCGAAGAACAGTTTGTCTGGATCATATTTTGCGCGTATTTTCTCAAAGATATTAATTTGCTCTTTGTAAGCTTGGGAAAGATATGATTTTATATTAGGTACGTATTCCCATTCTTTAGCCCAATGAGGTCTATTGAAAAAGCAAAGAATCCCAAGTTAATTCGAAATTATACTAATGATTAAATCAGCCGAGAAATACATACTTCGCTTTATAAGTCTGGATCCATCTTTGCCCAAACATTGCAGCAAAAGTTTGGTAGCCAGGAGTATAATGGTAAGAGGTCACTTCCATAAAGCAGTAAACAGCATTCGGATCTAGGTTGAAGCTAGGTGCGAGTAAAGTCCGCGTCGATTTTAGGATTCGTGCCTCGGCAACTAGGTTAAGCGGGAAAGAATTTTGTGCTGCGGCTGCGTAGGTCTGTAAATTATAGTTAGTTTCATTTTTTTCATAGAAATATAATATAATAAAAAGTGCTGACCGCATTGATGATAGCCTGAAATTCCTTAGCAACATTAGCATAATCCGGATCCACTTTAAATACAAACTCTAATGTTTCATCCGGGATATTACCGATACCGGCTTCATAATGGATCGCGTCTGGAGCCTGAAGTACGAAGCTTGTCGGCATTTTTCCTGGCCCCTCAAGCCAAATCGATGCAGTAACATTCGGCGTAGCTTGCGGGTTTTGAAGTAATAACTGATATACCTGGTTGCCTTGCAAAGAACTCTTGTTTTGAGCATCATGTAAAGCACTAATTTGTTCTGGAGTCAAAGTTGGTTGTTCGTCGGTTCGCACCCATTGCTTTACCCACATTTTATCCTTAGTCGGATCAAGTGGTTGCGGTGCGCTTTGGTTGTAAGAGTTGAATGGCCAATAAAAGATTTCAACACCGTCCGAAGATTCAACCAATTGCTTGATAACAGATGGAACAAGGAAATCTTTGGCTAACGGAAGAGTATCTGTCAAACGAAAATTAAACATTGGCTCCGTGCGTAATGTCACAGAATAAATGATACCAAATAAGCCTAAATAAAAAAGAGGAATGAAGATTATATACTCAATCAACGAAATTAATAGCCATTAAATTTATAATTACCCAAGTTAACTCTGGCGGCACTCATTTCCAAAGGATTCGTTATGTCACTGAATTCATACACCTTGCCATCAGCGGCGACGATCTTCATCGAAACAACATGATCAGCAATGAGGCCTAATGCGAACTTTGCGCCATGCGACCCAGTTGCAACAACACCCGCAGCTCTAAATTCGTCCAGCACAGTTGCCGAAGAAAGGGCCAACGGCGGGTTATTAGTTCGTAGTGCATGATCGATTTCACTAATTTGAGTGCCTTTTTGTTTCATCATTAATCAGATGGTATTACCTACTAACTATTTGATCCACTATCATTGAGAAAGAACTTACCAGCTTCCGCAGTAATGACCCATCCATACTGTTTGCTTTGCAGCACTTGAATTTTATTTAAATTATTGACTATCACCAAATATTTCTTTGTCACTGACAACGAACTATAGGTATGCCCCTCAGCGGCACATCGAATTGTTTTCCCATTTGTTCTTGCCAAGTTCACAATATCTTGAAGGTCGGTGAGCGTGGTTGGTCTGAAAATTGCTTCAGGCGCCAAATGGATAGTTCCGGCCCAATTATCCCATGTTTTATCAGAACTTGGAACCGCAGAACGAAGTGTAAATCCTCTAAGTTCCTTTCGGTATAATGGCGACCGCTCTTCGAGTATGCTTGATGGGACGGCTTCGGAAATTGAGGTACTTATTATTATTAAAATTAGGACGAATATTAGTCCAGATAGTTTAGTCATCGTGTATATCAATATAAAAGTGCCAAGAAACGACAGAACTTGATAATGTCGCGAGGCTAGCGATCGTTCCAGGTTTAAATACTCTTTTTGCCGTTAAGTTTGGATTCTGAAACGCATTTCATTTAAATGGGCTGTGTCACAGCGGGCTGCTGAGTTACAAGATGTATGTCGTAACTAGGCCGTATGTATATTATCGTAATTAATGCTTATAACGCACCTATGTTAGAACCAGTACAGTATGCTGTGACTAGTGTTATGTGCCGGATTCTGGAAATAAACAAAATAAACACCATCTGAGAATAGCACTACCCTGGTTTAATCAAACAGTAAGAAAATTATGAATAAGAACCACCTTAGATAAATTAAAAAATTAAAATTATGATAACTTTACTTGAGCCAAGAGGAAATAATTGTGGGTATGATATTGGATGAGAAGCGAGCAAATTTTCTTTATCGTTATATTGCACTAATTTAAGACTAGTATTATCAAAATGAAGACTGCAAGTGCACCTGCAAACACAGCGAAAATTTATTAGAATATCCAAATTTAGCATGTATAATAAAACTGTGCACTGCATCCTTATCTTGCACATACATGTATTCAAGAAATAAGCATCACCCCCTATTTTGGGAGCAGGAGAATACGAAGTAACGCTTATGTTAATTCTAATATTTAAAAATAAAAAAATTTGAGTTAAAAAAAATAACTTTCAATCTTGTATACGCAGCGACTCGATTTAAAGGATTTACTAAAAAAGCGGATTATTGATTGCTCAGTCATTGTGTAATAAATTTTTATTTTTTTGTTGAATCGATAATTCAGAATTTAATATCATTTCAGAAATTTCTAATGGTGATAACTATAATTGAATGTGAGTATTTTACTTTCCAATTAATATAAACAGTCAAAGTCGATATAACGGACAGGTCGGTTCCGTAGTGAGAAATTTCGAAAAATCCATTATATCAACGGTCTATTAATGAATTCGTTATGTTGATGGCGATTTATTATAGACTGTTCTAGTGTCCGTTATAACGATCGTCCGTTATATCTGTGTAACATTATTTTTTAATATATATAGAAACAAGAAAAAAAGGTTTAAACATGAAGTTTCAAACATTGTAAAGTATATTATAATTGTAAAAAAAAGTATTCAAATTTTATTAATACACAAAAAACTCGCACAAACTCATTTCTGTTATTAACACAACTTAAGAATAAGCACCCCCGGCCGGGTTAGATTAAAAAGTAAGAAAATTATGAATAAGCACCACTATCACGCATCCCATGCATGCACGAGAATTGTGATATCAACAAAGCAATAATTATTATTGAGCCAGGGGGAGAAATACATAATTGTGGGTGATGATTTTGTTTGGAACAGGAAGCGAATCTTTCTTATATCGCGATAATTTAGACTGCTCAGGAATAATCATCACCTTCATTTTGCTATGTTGATACTAATTCCCGGATGAAAACTGGTAGATACGTATTCAAGAAATTGTCTAAAATGGGGGTGCATTAAAATTCCCCCATTTACTCGTAATACAATGAATTTGATTGATATTCTTCCTTCTTCTCCATTCCAGTCAAAAATTATTATATTTTTCTTAAGATTGATTTTAGTATTAATCTTATTTAACTAATCTATTTCTACTACAAGACTATAAATTTGAGCTTTAGTAATATTTACTTCTGCTGAAATTATAATTCTATTAATAGTAATAAAAAAGTTATCAATTACTCCTAATAGTTATTTGAAATATCTATTAATATCAGATATAGAGATATTTGATTTTCATTAAATTTTTATTTCAAGTTATTTAAGAAATTCATGACTAATAACATATTCTGATATTCTGATATTAACAATTAAATCTACATGAATCTTGCTAATCTTGGCTTCATATCAGACTGAAGTAGTTTTGATCTTCTAGATAAATATTATTTTTTGTTTGAGTTTCTTCTGTAATTTCTTTCTCATTCCTTTTGACATTTGAATTCTTTGTTTAGATAAAGTTTTAATAAGCTATACAATAGTAATATTGGCTTTCTGAAATACTAAATCTTTGAATATATCATAGGTTTTAGCTTTCTTTATCAAGATTAGAAGATGAGTTCTTTTTTTCTTTCATTTTTTCTTTTCTAAAGTGATCTTGTCTTCTTCTAAAACTTTTAATAAAGGCTGGATAACTTTATTTTTCTTCTTCTTCTTTAATAATTCTTTGATATTTTCTTTCTTTAGCAAGATAATTATGAGTTGCTAATAAAAAAGAACTGGATTAGATAGATAAATTATTTGAAAGACCATCACTAAATACTTGTAAAGCTACTATTAAATTCTGAATTTGGATGAGAAGAGAAGTAATATTTAGATTTTGAGAATTATTAAATTGTTGATTATTACTTTGGATATTCTGATTTAACTAATTATTATTGTTATTATTATTATTCTGATTTTAATTATTTCAATTTCAAGAAATATTTTGATTATTAGACTGCTAATTTTTAGATTAAGAGTTATTTGAACATATTCTACTAACATGTTCTTTTTCTCTATAACTGTAATAGATAATAGTAAATTTGTCTCTTGACTGATTTTATTGTTAATTATTATTATTATTCTGATCATTATATCTCCTATTAGATTTTATATGGTCTAATCTACTAGTTAAATCTTGCAAAATCTTAGCTAGAGCATTTTATTTACCAGTTAGCTAAGCTTGAGTTTGTGATAGATTTATTCCAGTAGATCTGAATCAGCTTCTTTCATATTATTAGCAGTTTTAATTATACTTTCTATAATATCTTCAGTATTCAGGTTAATCTATTTTTGGATTTCTGATTTAAATTCTTTCTTAAAAATTTGAATTTTATATTCTTCTAAATATACTTGTTCTGAATCTACTTTATTTTCAAGTTTTATAATTCAATTTACATATTCTTCTACTATTTCAGTTTATTTTAATATTTTCAATTTATTTTATTATTATTATATTTTACAAAATGAATAAAATTTAAGAATAAATTAGTAAGAGAAATTATTTTTATTATTATTTTCAGTTATTCATTCATTTAATTAGAGAGTATCACTTATAGATCATTGATCAAATCAGGTAATAACTAGTTTCTTTAGATATTCTCTTATTATCTTAATCTTTCTGTTATTAATAATTTCATTAGCTTTAATAACTACTTCAAAGTCATATAACTATTCAATTAGATCCTGATTATTATTCTTAAATTTATAAATTAAAATAAGAATTTTTTCTATTCTCTAGATCTTTATAGATCAAGTTAATTCTTCAAGAGCTTGAATGAGATTTTCTATTCTATCTGATATAATTATTTCTTTTTTAGACTGGAATTTTTAAGATTGAATTTGTTTAATTATAACTATTAGTTCTTCAAGATCTTTTAAATCATTATTTTCATATTCTGATTCTATTAGTTAATTAATTGAGAAGATTTCAAAATTATTTATTTCTTTAAGAATAAGAAGAATATTATTAACTAGGTAGATTTGTTATTCAACTATGATTTTACTTTCAAATATAAATATATTAAGTAACTTGATAATTTCTTTTTAAAGTTAATTATATATAAAATTTTATTATATAATATTATTAAAAAGTTCTTGTAAAAATCTGTTATGAGAAATTACATAATAATTTTAAGTTCAAATAAGAAAATTTATAAATCTTCTATCTGAATTTTTATTTGTAAAAAAATAATAAGAGTAGTAGTTGTATAATTTAATATGAGATAAGAATTTTCAAGAATTGTTTCTATTATATTTACTAAGATATAGATTAATTAGAAGTCTAATAAAAGAGTAATATATACTTATAAACTAATTAATTAATTAAATAACAAATATTTCAAGAGTAGCTAATTCTTAAAATAATAAAATAAATAATAAATGAAATAATAAAAATGAGTTAAAAGAGATCTCTAGATAGTAGAAATCTACAGAAAGAGTATCAAATATTACAAACTATATTCTGGAAGATAGATTTTATCACAAATATAATTTATTTTAAGTTTTGAGAGTAATGACTAAATTATTTATAAAGATTAAAAGAATAATAATTATTTAAAGATTTCTAAGTACCAATATTTATGAGTATTATATTAATACAAGACAAAAATAAAATAAAATAAAATAAAAATAAAATTGTAATCATAAAAACTAAAATAAGAGTAGGTATCAAAAACTAAAGTAATAAATACTATATTAAAAACAAAAGATTTAGTATGCTAATTAAACTCTTTAATAGTATCTTTTTAATTATTAGATAAATAAAGAATATATATCAAAATAGAATAAAGCTTTTATATATAGTAAAGCTTACAAGAATCTTCTTAATCAAATAAAATATACTTGGCTTATTTTAAGTGGATGATATTCACTATCTAAGTTTTTCAGACAAGAAAAACTTATAAATAATCAGAATATAATCTATTCTGATAGAAGAAATAAATAAAAGCAAGATATCAAAATAAAAATTAAAGAAAAATTATAAGATAAGCATAACTCAAGTATTTTCAAGAATAATTGAATTATTGCTATTCAAGTATATTTATTTTATATTTTAAAGTAAAGATATTTATACATCTTTAGAATTTTACAAGTTTCTATCTAAACTTATTTACTATTCTAGATTACAATTACAAATTTTAAAGCAAAAAATTAATAAATAAATAAGTAAAATAAAGAGATAAGATATATGTGGTAAGTTATAAGATAATACAAATAATAAAATAAAATAAAAAGACAAGATAAATATTCTAAAAAGAAATGATAAATGATAAAAATAAATTAAATTTATTGCTAAACCATTTCTAAAATATTTCTGAACTATTATTAAATTATTTGTAAATTATTATTAATTTTAGAATTAATTATTCATTCATGATCTTAAAGTATTATTAAAATATTGCAAAAACATTATAAAAATATTATTGAATTATGACTGAATTCATAACTGATATATCA